GCAAAGCGGTCCATACCTTGTTTCCACTGCAAGGATTCCATCCTTATCACATCGACCTCCTCACGCAGCCCCCTCTATCATCTCGATTTTTTGCTGCAGCTGTGAGACCGAAATGTTAGATACCGTTCCGGTATCAAACCCATAGGTTTTCAAAAGCATCATTACCTGCTCAGACAAATCATTCTGGTCTCGATAAGCCTTGGACAGTTCGGCCCGGAGATCTTTTATTTCCTCCTCTCTCTGTCCTAAGGAAAGTTTGAGAGAGTTCCTCTCATCGATAATGCATTTCAGGTCGGCCGCGTATCGATGTAGCTCATTTTGGGAACGAGAACAATGTTCTCGATAGACTGCCGCAGCCTACGAAGAAACAAGGAGCGAAGATAACGAAAGACGAACATAAAGGCAATACCAATAAAAAAGTTTTCAAAAGACTCACTTGGTCCAAAGCCTGCTGCAAACCGTGAAAAAGATCCGATTCATCACCGGCACCGGCAACGTCCTCGATACCAGTGAACAAGTCACGAAACGGATCCTCTTCATCGTGAGGCCTATCTAGATTAAGGGCCCCCAGAGCTTGAGCTTCCCGAATCACCCCTGCGGAAAAAGCGGGAAAGAGAGGCGAGTCTTCGATCGCTGTTGCCTCGAGTGAATCGCTCGGAGCACCCACCTCGGCTTGGAGAGGTTCGAAGGGCTCCCTGATTGTAACCCCTGCGGGTTGATTCCGATGAGAGGTGTCTTCAACATCCGATAGTTCGGGGACTCTGCTGGAACCACTCTCCGGTATATTTTCAGTCCGAGACAGAGCCCCATAGGGCATCATCGATCCAGCCGGCATTGAAGCATCGGTGGCTCTCTTCGTCCGGACCGCCAGCGTGGACTCACCATATTCTTCTTCTTCTTCTTCTTCTTCTTCTTCTTCTTCTTCTTCTTCTTCTTCTTCTTCTTCTTCTTCTTCTTCTTCATCCCTTAGGCGCAAAACGGATTCTACGGTCAAAGGAATGACATTCTTGTTTGGTTTACGAGCCGTCCTCTTCTTCGGTTTTGGATATTCGGACAACGAAGCTCTCTTCTACAACGAAGCTCTCTTCTTTTTATTTTCTTTCACAGGCTTTGGAACGAAGGTCGAGACATCCTCCTCATTAGATAGAGGTCTCAAGACTGCATCCTTACCCAAACCTGCATACGGGAAACCTTATCGAAAATATATCGAGAAGTGCCTCGTCAGATTCCGAGAAATAAGCTTACCATGGTTTTTGGCCTCCCACCGACCCTTAGACAAATCACGCCATGAGCGTTCAGCGTATGTGGAAGTCGAAACAAGAGCCCGTACCCAATTCTTGAGGTCGGGAACCGCTCCGGGCATCCAGGGAACCGCTACATCACGAAAAAGGGGAGTGTCGATAAGAGAACAAATGAAAGAACAAAATAGAAACAAGAGAAAAATCACACTTACGTTTTAAATTCCACTCCTCGGGAAAGGGCATCTTTTCGGTCGAGATCAGGTCCGAAGTCCTTACTCGAACGAACCTGCTCATCCAACCCCGATCTCTGTCCTCGTCAATACTCGAGAACAAAGCCTTGGTAGCCCGACGTTGGAGTTTTATTAACCCTCCCCGAAAAAGTCGGGGACGGTATAGCCGAATAAGATGATCAAGGGTGAACAACATCCCCTCGATTTTGCTCATGAAATATCGGATCAGAATAACGATCCGCCACAAAGAAAGATGGACCTGGCCTAAGGTTACCTGATACTGTCGACAGAAGTCGATAACGACGGAATCAAGGGGACCCAAAGTGAAAGGATAGGTGTATACGTTCAAAAACCCTTTCACGTGAGAAGTAATGTCTTCGTCAGGGGTAGGTATTATCACTTCTTTTTTCCCCCAATTGCAATCCTTCTTTAACAGATCGAGGTGCTTCTCAGTAATCGAACACATGTACCTCGATACCGGCTCACACCGGCCAGGGACCGATGAACCTTTATCAACTTTAAAATCTGAAGTAAGGACGCATGCCCCGGGGACACACTCCTCTGGCCGTGGTTCCACCGGTGTCTCATCGGCGACACACTGTGAAGATGAAACTTTCTCTTTCTGAGGAATTGTTTGCGATGTTTTCGCCATTTTTGAATTCAAAAATAAGGAGCAGAAGGAGGTGATAGAGATTTGGTAGAATTGAGGGATCCTTTCGGAAAGAAATCACAGCTTTTTGTAAGAAGAGATTGAGAAATTTTAGAAGATTGAAGATGTAAAATTGGTAAAAGATAAAGGTGAGAGTGATTTATAGGTTCAAAGCGACGGCGGTTCATTATCAGCAGTGGCCGACCACCGCCTGAAATGCATTAAATGCGTTGGGAGACTAAACCGACAGGATAGCTATCATGTGCGTCATGATCGAACCTGATGGAATCAACAGAATATAATCCGATCGAGCTGTTGAAAATCATATCGCTTCTCGCCGTATTTATTTCTGAGAAACGAGGGGACTATCTGTATACGGTCGAAATGGATTTGGCATGTCTGGTATGGTTCGAAAGGTGATATATCGAAGTAAGATCCCGAAAGGGGTAGTGGCACGAACTAATCTAGAGCCTGGGAAGGCCGGTCCGTATTGAGATCGATATCATAATCAAACTCGAACAAGAATCGAACCATGGCGCGGGTAGATCTATCATGCAGATAATTCAAAAACCAACCTACATCGACCAGGAATCCGTTCGAGGGATCGAACCGGGATCGAGCTCGAGTCAAGATCACAAGTTCGAGCCGAAATCAAGCTCGAACCAAATCGAGAGTTCTAAGCAAGATCGGGCTCGCAGACAAAAGCCGTTATAATCCCACTAAAGGGAATCTTGGCAGAAATTATGGAAAAGCTTATTTATCATGGATTTCCCACTGAATGTTTATTTTATTATGCTTGGAGCCAAAACCCCTTCACTATAAAAGGATTTGTTTATCATTTTTGTAAGGCATCCATTGGAGGACTTACACTATCACAAATTGTATTATCCCATCTACAAGCAAGAGTGATCTTTCTAGTTTCTTAGATTGATTCTATTTTTGTTAAATCCTAAATTTCACTGTTCATAATTGATTGGCATAGATTACGTTTTTCTCCAATCTATATTCATACTTTTATTTATCCTAGCATTCTGTATTAAGTGATACCACGTATCTTCGGAACTACGCATAAATTCAACTCTATCCCTTTTTTCGGGTAAACAAGGTTAAAGGCCTGCAAGTTTTCATTTGCCTAAGTTACTCTTTAAATTAAAATTAGTATCACTTTCACATTTTTAATTTCTACGATACCTTTCATGGATATTGCGAGTGATGTAAGCCAACGTTTTCAGGTGACTTTCTCCGTTCGATATTGCTATATTCTGTAGACTTTATGAGAACAGTTGAGATGAAAGCTAAGAAGCATAGTTGAGATGCAGGTATGACATTTAAAGATACAAAATCACTCGAGTTAGTTCTCTAGTAAATTTACGCCCAAAAAAATTATCTTCCATCCAAATGGGGAAATTTTTTTATGTACTCGTCATTTAAGAGCTTGAATATTCAGATCAAAGTAGCGGCTAATTTAAATAAGTTGAAATATTCGATGGAGGAAAAATGAAAATATGTCCCAGTGAAGTATGAGCCTGATATATTATGAAGAAAAACTATGAGATAGGCATTACATCTCATGCGACATCTTGTGACTAACTACTAGTTTGACTTGTATATAGGTAGTATATAGAACTGTAAAGTCCCCTAAAATTTGGCAAGGTTTTAAACTTTAAAGTGCGCCAACGATGAATAGAGATAACGTTTTGCATGTCAAAGAAGACTACGGACTAGGGTCTGAGGAGAGTTATAGAACCAAGCCAAGTTGGTAACTACGCAATGGACTAAGGTTTCCAATGAGTTTGTACAAGATCCAACTTCAAACGAGCACAACTCTCAATATATAAGAGTTATGTGATGCAAACCTATCAAACAAAATTTCTTCGAGTCTAATTTTCAACTATTCAAACTATTTGTCATTTGTGTTATAGAAAACATTGAAAAACAATAGGTCAATGGAGTAAAAAACAAGTAAAGATAATTTTATGACAAATATAGAATGATCGAGCAGGCAAGGCATTTTAAGAAAATAATCTTTAGGAAAGTAATTTTTCCCACACGGTGCAAATAGTTAGTAAGAAAAATAATCTTTAGGAAAGTAATTTTTCCCACACGGTGCAAATAGTTAGTAAGAAAGTCTATTCCCAGGATATAATACCTACTCTGATAATCAAAGTTGTACACTTTGATTTCTTCTACCACAAGAACTCAACCCAATAGGGAGGAAGAATTTGTATAAGCTGAAATAGGAGATTAACGAACACTACAAAAAAAATCGCCTTTAGGGACGAGAATAATGGTCCCTAAAAGTCCGATTCTGGTCCTTAAATATCATTAGCGACCAAAAAAAATCTGGTCTTCGCCGGTCGCTAGAAGCTCCACCACTAAACGTCAATAGCGACGAGATTTAGTGACCGGTCCTTAAAAACCTTTAAGGACGGGTGTTATTCTTGTCCTTAATAAACTTTGAGGGACCACATTTCTAGTCCCTAAAGAATGATAAAAAAGAATGTTGGATGCTGCATCTGGTGCCTATTAATTTACAACAACCAGATTTTACAGGTCCTAAGAATGACTTTGAGGACGAAAATTTCTGGTTCTTAAAGATCTTATGAAATGTGGCCCCTAAAAAATGTCTTTTATGTCTTGCTTTTCCGAAATATTATTCCATTCATAATGTATATAATGAATGCTTGTAGACAAACTTATCAATAATGTCTTCGTATGTATTTGTAAAATTACAAAAGAAAGGATTAACATTCCATTTGTACTGTAAATGAAGAAAACAAATTAACATCAGTTGCAAATAAATGAATATTATTGTCTATAGTTCTAGGCAAATGCTAATTAGCTTGTCAACTTGAAGTCTCTAAAATCTACATCTTCACTTGTAAACTGAAGTCTTCAAGACCTGTGAGAAGTATGAAATGAATTCACTTCAGAAAAACTATAAAAATCAACCCGAAAGATTGGATAACTAATTGCGAGACCTATATTATTTCATAAACTAATTGCAATATAACAATATTTTGGTCATATAGGAAACTTGCATTATGAAATAAAACACAAAATAGCCATGTCTGCAACTAAAACACTATAAGAGACTAAAAAATGGATTTGTTTCATCAATGACAAGGAGCAATACATCTTATTATGTACAAATAGGTTCTATATACTTAGAGGGAGACAAACAGATAATTATTTACCATATTACACCCCAAGTTGTAAGTGCTCCACGCAACCTAAGAAACAAAGATTAAGTTCAACATTAGCATTAGTGAGAATCATCCAAAGTCCATAATGTAGCATTAATGAAAATCAACCCTCATTATTTAATACATATAAAGATACGATGCAAACTATAAGATCTAATAACATTATGTTATATAAACTACTAACAAACAAATTGCGCTTTAAAAGCACATCTTCCTTCAGAGAATATCTGGCACAGAAATGTTTAAGAAAAAAATCAAAACCAGTGCCTTATAACTTTTTCCATTATCATAATCATATTTTGGGTTTTGCTATAAGCAAGAAACTGTGAGGGGTTCATGTTCCTATCGGTTAAATGTATTAAATTTCCAGATCACTCAACATAGATCAGGGTAAATCTACTGATGCAAAAATAAAAAATAAACTATTGACAATTATCCTACATTTGAACCTAAAACTTGTTGTCCTTGCAATTAGCCATTAACTTGTTAGAAAATAATTGGCAATTTCTTAATGATCAATGCACACACATAGATATTTTTTTGACAAGTAAAAGAAACATAATTTTTACAAGAATCGTGAAAGAAATTTCTGGACCTGCTGCCTAACTTTCTCAAGTTTCAGCTCAAGTTGTGCTAACTTCAAATGGCATTGTTTTCAGCTACTGAACTTACTCCTGGAAAGAAAAGGGAAGATAATCAAGAAAAGGAATTTATCTGCCATATAAGTGAATTTTAAAAATAAAAATTTCTTCTACCTTTTTTCGCATTCTGCTTTCACACAGGGAGCTTCGATTTTGCCGCTAAACACAAAGTGAGAGATAAAGAGTAAGTGGCTTTGGGAATGCACACCTTGTCAAGAATACTCTATTGGTTGATAATCCCATGTCAGAGGGTATAAATTGTTCATAAAAGTAAAAAGAGTACATAACCAGATGAGAGTTTGAGATTTACTACATGAAAAGTTGTAGTGTTACAACAAAAATAAAACCATATTTGAGAACCTAAGAAATGCATCCCAAACTGTTATAAAATTATATCATGAAGATACATGCGAACTTCAGAGTCACATATGACATGGAGATGCAGAGAATAGAAGACTAAAGTTTCAACTAAATGGTTATGACATGATATACAGTGTAAGGTTGAGTTTCAGTCCAAAAATAAATTGTATTTGCATGAGTAGCAAAAACAAATTAAGAACTATCAATGAAATCAATAAAAGTGGATAAAGAGAACAAGGAAAAATTAAAAATTGATATAGATTGTAAGAAGGAAGTCTATCATTTCATCAGTGCAACATCCCTCACAAATGAACCTCCACCTTCATCAATAAATAACCTTAACAATCATTGCACCAAGATCAAATATCTTCATAAAATCTTATAGAACCATAAGTAGAACACTGATGCACTTATTCAATACCCTCTTTGTGGAGAAACCAGAAACACGTTCATCTCTTTCAAGGTGTTCAACTTTAATACCACATTTCCCTAACGTTCAATATTTTCTTTAAAACATGTCTTAGAACCATATAACAACATATTTAAAATTACCAATATCAATTTATCATTTTCACAAAGGCTTTGCGCAGATGAATATTTACTTTTTTCCTATAACTTCAATCCATCTGCTAGAGGACTAGCAGCAAACATTTTTTCACCACTTGAAATAGCCACTATCTAATAAATTTACAAGTTTAATTTCTTCTAGCAAACATAACTATAACTCATATTAAAAAAAAGCTACATGAACCTGATAATCACCTTACACTTGCAAGCTCAGTTAAGCACCTCACCTAATATCAATTGGTAACAAAGTACAATAATCCTATTGATTAAAGCTTCCTTTTAGTACGTAAAGGAGTGGTTAGTAGCAATATTTGACATGTGTATAATAAGATCAAGAAGCGCACTATAAAATAAACACCCAGTTTCAGCAAAAACAGGGATAACATGTATCCATCAATAAAATGAAGAGCAACAATGAAAATAAATACCAAAAATCACTCATTGCGCCCATAAATGAAATGAAACAAAACCCACAAGCATTAACAGCAAAACCCAGCAAGTGTAAAATAGTAAGTGGAAGAAAGGAACACTAACTGATGATTGGAACACTTCTTCTCTTAAGCAAGTCGTAAAGGTAATCAAATCTTGCATTCAAGAAACAAAACTGTCAGCGCACACATATACAAGCATAGCTGAAGCAGATAAAGATAATAGAATTATGGAAAGCAAAACTTACGAATTTCAAGCTAATACTCTTAGAAGTGCCTCAGACCACAATGAAACAACTCCTTCCCGTCTCACTGCGGAGGCTGAAATGAATAACACGCGAGCTCTTCTTCACAAAACGGCTCATAGATACAGCCTCGCCATAAAAACAACTTGTTGAATCACAAAATGCCAACTCAATCGCACAGATCCAACTTTAGTTGGTAATGGAAAAAATTACCCAAAATAACTCAGCAAAAATGAATAATCTGTAGAATAGTCGTGAACAGATTGATGATGGAAATCGTCACTTTGAACAATGAAATCAAGAAGAGATTTAGATGAAACACCAGAACTGGTTGTCAAAGTGATAAGGGTTTGGAGATTTTGAGAGAAACGCTAAGAGATGGGGAGTAAACCTTAGTTCCTAAATGACGACTTGGGGAATGTTTTTAAGTGTTTCTATTTCTTTATTTTTTTCTAGGTTTCCATCTCTCTATAATTATAAAAATATGAAATTTTAGAAGAAAATTTGGGCGGCACCTCAAGTCTCGCACTCCCGCTCTATTCTGCATATTAGGGACGCGAATTTTATAATAAGAGGGACGAGATTCAGTCCCGTCGTTATTTAATTTAGAATTAGCTACCGGAAAAAAACTAGTCGCTATAAATATACTTTTAATAATCAGATTTCAATCTCGCCGCTAAATATCGGTCGCTAATGAACCTTCTTATTGTAGTGGAAGAATAATATCAACACTTTAAGAATGAATGAAAAAGTATTTTTAATGAATAGGTGCAGATGGATGTTAATAAGATTAATTCTACTTTATGTCATTGTCTACAAAGCCTTTGTAGAGACTCCCAACGGAACTAACTATTAAAAAAAAAAAAAAAAAAAAAAAAAAAAACTTTGGGAGAGTGATTACAAACTCAAACAACACAACCTTTGTAAATGAAGAGGTACATCAGTTTTTCAATTATCTCAATATCTTATTATTAAGTAGTATTTATATATTATTATATATATAGCAATCCCCCACTTATTATATAATAATAATATGTGGACTCGAAACAAAAGGAAGGATGATACATGTATTTGTCTAACACATAACTAAAGGTAGCTAATCAGCCTTGAACCTTTAGAATGAATATGATATAAAATCCACATTCGTACATGGGTTTTTGTTCTGCAATGGCGACACCGATTAACATGGGCCTTGCGCTCATTCCTATTTCAGTAAATACTATAGGATTCACCATTAAATCCATAAAAAACGAACTCACTTTCTTACTTGCACCGACAATCTTATCAAGAGTGTCCACAACTGCTCTACCACTCTTCTATAGGCGATGAGACTATTAAGAACAAAGTTCAACCTTCTCGTTGTGGAAAAGCAATGCATACTGTCAAACATGAGCTTTAAGGGAATATCAATTTATTTGTATTCATTATCACCCCCACTATTCCATAAATATTGTATACGGTCAAATCTGAGTTTGCCCTCCGTTTAAATTGGTCTAGATTGGAACATGATAAACCAAGGATCGTCATAGTAACATCGGAATAAGAAGCAAAGTCAGGTTATCGAGCTCAAGGTTCAGGGACCCATCAATATCGAGCTCGAGTCAATATCGGGCTCGAATCAATATCGAGCTGTGATATGAAGTAGTGTTATCGAGCTCAAGAGCCAGAGACAGATCAGTACCGAGCCCAGTCAGTATCAAGCTCGAATCAATATCGAGCTGTGATATGAAGTAGTGTTATCGAGCTCAAGAGCCAGAGACAGATCAGTACCGAGCCCAGTCAGTATCAAGCTCGAATCAATATCGAGCTCGAGATCCAGAGATCGACCAATACCGAGACCGACCAAGATCGAGCTTAGAGACAAAGAGTCGTTGCAGCCGCACTTAGGGAGAGAATCTCGGCGAAATTTAAGAAAAATCTAATTAATTAATCTATCATGGGATCTCCACTATGTATTTTTTATTATATCCAAAGTAGGATTCTTCCACTATATAAAGAGTGGCTATTATTTCTGTAGAGGGCAGAATATTCAGAGAAGAAAAATATTGATACACTCACATTCTAAAGATTATTATATTGATATATAGTTGAGATTATCCTTTTTTGAGCTTGGACATTGATTCGTCTTGCTAGTTTATAAATCATTCTCTACTCAATTTGGTTTGTATTTCATTCCTTTATACAATCAATATTCGATATATTTCTACTTACTTTTCTAATTTGTACCGAGTTACACCACGTATTCTTAGAACTACGTATAAATTCAACTCTATCTGTTTTTCGGGTAAACAGTTTGGCGCCCACCGTGGGGCTAAGGATAATAGTGGTTATTTGGTACGAATCTCTGCAAAACACACTATTTTACACTTGTTCTTGGAAGTATCTTTGATTTCAGGCTAAAAATGACGAATTCACAATTAATGGCCCTACCTATCGATAACGAAGCTGGCCTTCAAGATGAGAACAACAACTTAACGCCCAGGGATAAAAGGCCACTTGTCGATCCCGTTGGAGCTCGGGTCGAAGAGCCAATAGACGTTAATTCACATGTGGCCATCGAGGCAAACCAATATTCTGACCCTGAAAATAGCATTCATGGTGGAACTCGATCTGTAGCTTGAAATACACAAAATGCTGAGGAAAGCAGAATCAGCTTGCGTATGATTTTCGAAATATTGTAAGCTCAACAAGTAGCAATAGCCCAGTTGCAGAGCCAAACCCAGGCACCGACCAGACTCGAGCCCAGTCCACCCCAAGAAGTCACCCACAAAATGGGGCCAGCTGTAGTAAGGTCAAATGAGCAAGAATCGGGGACTAATCCCGAAATTGTTAAGATATTATGTTCGAGGAACTGACAAAATGAATAGAGTCGAGAGAAAGGAGGATTGAAGCAAATGACAAAAAGGTGGAAACATATAACGCCAGGGTTAATCAGATCCCGGGGGCACCACCGATATTGAAAGGCTTGGATTCCAAAAAATTCGTACAAAAGCCCTTCCCTCCGAGCGCAGCTCTGAAACCGATCCCCAAGAAGTTCTGCATGCCCAAAATTCCTAAATATAATAGAACGACCGACCCCAACGAACACGTCACCTCTTACACATGTGCCATTAAAGGGAACGATCTAGAAGACGACGAGATCGAATCTGCATTATTGAAAAAATTTGGTGAAACCCTGTCAAAGGGAGTAATGATATGGTATCATAATTTACCGTCTAACTCAATTGATTCTTTTGCTATGCTTGCAGATTCTTTCATAAAAGCACACGCTGGAGCCATAAAGGTTGAAACCAGGAAGTCCGAACTTTTCAAGGTAAGACAAAAAGATAACGAGATGCAAAGGAAATTCGTATCTCGTTTCCAAATAGAATGAATGGATCTACCGCCGGTCACATACGATTGGGCTGTTCAACTTTCACTCAAGGTCTAAACGAACGAAGCTCGATGGCTTCACGATGGTTGAAGCAGAACCTGATCGAGTACCCAGCTGTTACCTGGGCCGATGTACACAATCAGTATCAATCAAAGATCAGAGTTGAAGACGACCAGTTGGGTTCTGGCTCCATTATTAAAAGGGACATCAACCGAGAACAAAGGCCGATCAGGGACCGATACCGGCCGTATGATGGAGATCATAGGGGTAACGAACCAGGACGTAACCCCATACATGGCGATAAAAGAAGTGATCGAGGCCAAAGGTCTCGAGGGCTGATAAACAAGAATGGGTTCGACAGGCATATCGGACCTAAGAAAGCACCACGGTTATCAGAGTATAACTTCAACGTCCATGTATCCGCCATCGTGTCGGCTATCGGGCGCATCAAAGATACTAAGTGGCCTCGACCTCTGCAGACCGATCCAACCTAGAGGAATCCCAATCAAATGTGCGAATATCATGGCACTCATCGCCATAGAACGGAAGATTGCAGGCAATTGAGAAAGGAGGTAGCCCAGATATTCAATAAAGAGCACCTTCGAGAATTTTTAAGCGACCGAGCCAAAAACCATTTCAAAAATAGGGATTTCAGAAGACAAAACGAACAAGAAGAGCCATAACACATCATCCACATGATCATCGGTGGAATCGATATCCCCCAGGGGCCGGTGCTTAAACGCGCTAAGATGTCGATTGAAAGAAAGAAGCGATCTCGGTCTCAAGATTACACACCTAAAGGAATCTTATCCTTTAGTGATGAAGACGCAGAAGGAATCATGCAACCCCATAACGATGCACTGGTAATATCTGTACTTGTGAATAAAACTCAAGTTAAGCGTGTGTTAATTGATACAGGTAGTTTGGCCAACATTATTAGATCGAAGATCATAGAGCAGCTCGGTCTACAGGACCGGGTCGTGCCCGCAACCCTGGTTCTAAACGGATTTAATATGGCATGTGAAACTACTAAGGGCGAGATAATCCTGCCAATAAACGTGGTCGGGACCATCCAAGAAATGAAGTTCCACGTAATCGAAGGCGACATGAGGTATAGCGCTCTTTTTGGAAGGCCGTGGATCCATAATATGAGAGCTGTACCCTCGACCCTCCGCCAGGTTCTAAAATTCCCAACATCGGAGGGAGTCAAAACAGTCTACGGAGAGAAACCAGCCGCAAGAGAAATGTTTGCCATTGATGAGGTAATTCCGATATCTACACTATCATCGACAAAGGGATCAGATTCGAAGGGTGAACAGGATACCAAATAGCAATCACAAACATCAGCCTCGACCCAACTAGAGAATCATAAGACTGACGAAGATGATGACTATGGGATCCCTCAATCCTTTGTGGTCCCCGATGATACCGATGCTACCCAGTCAACGGTCGAAGAACTGGAGCAAATCATGCTAGTCGAACATCTGCCAGAGCGAAAGGTATACCTAGGCACGGGGTTAGATCCCTAGCTCAGGAAAAAGCTTATTCAATTTCTTATAGCTAACATGAACTATTTCGCTTGGTCCCATCTCAACATAACAGGGATCCCACCGGAGATAGCCACTCATAGACTAAGCTTGGATCCAAAATTCCATCCGATAAAGCAAAAAGGAAGGCCCCAGTCCGAGGTCAAACATGCCTTCATCAAGGATGAGGTAACCAAACTTCTTAAAATAGGATCCATTCGAGAAGTTAAATACCCCGAATGGCTAGCAAATATGGTTGTGGTCCTTAAGAAAGGAAAAAAACTTAGCATGTGTATAGATTATAAAGACTTGAACAAAGTATGCCCTAAGGATTCCTTTCCTTTGCCTAGCATCGATCGTATGATCGATGCCACGGCCGGCCACGAGACTCTCAGTTTTCTCGATGCCTACTTTGGTACAACCAGATACAAATGAACCTGGAGGATCAAGGAAAAACCTCGTTTTTCACTAAGTACGACACCTATTGTTATAACGTAATGGCATTCGGTCTAAAAAATGCTGGTGTAACTTATCAACGCCTAGTAAATTGAATGTTCGAAAAACAAATAGGAAAATCAATGGAAGTTTATATTGATGATATGTTAGTTAAGTCCCTGCGAGCAGAGGACTGTTTAAAGCATTTGAAGGAAACTTTCGATGTGCTAAAGAAGTACAATATGAAGCTCAACCCCGAAAAATATGCATTCGGGGTTGGC